GGCCAATGTATTGATATTGATGTGCAATTATATAATCATTATTATTTGCTGCTTTGCACAATCTATCATTAACCTCTTTCACTCAAATCATCTCTCTGCCTTTACTCTGTAACAATTCTCTCTTCCCTCTTTTTCCTCTTAGGGTTTTATAGTTTGAATTTACTTCTTTGATTCTTGATTGAAAAGTTTCATGTTTTATCTACTGTGATCTAGGAGTTCTTGCTGGGTTTTTGTTTTATTTCATAGATCCTTTCTCATTTTGTTTTCTTTATTTTTCGTGTATTACTTTGCGTAAATTTCAAATATTTTTGGATTTTGTATTTTGTAGTCAAACTGGAACTGGTTAGAGGCAGAACTAAGAAGATCTTGTCTCTGTATCTTTATGTAAAATGTAAACCTTTTTCACTTTCTTAAAGCTTCAGATTCTTAAATCCCCCCATTTGGTATTTACTTGTAGAGTTGCTGAAAAAAAACAAAAAGAAGCAAAATGGCACTTACTTGGACTCATGAAAACAGAGGAGAAATTAGGGTTCATGAGAATTTGGAGGAACTAAGCATAGGCTTGGTAGATTATATAGCTGAGATTTCAGAAGCATCAATCAAAGAACATGGTGCTTTCTGCATTGTCTTATCAGGAGGCTCTCTCATTAGCTTGATGGGGTTGGTAATTACAATTTTTTTAACCAAAAAATTCCCCATTTTTCACTCACCTTGATCAATCTAATGGATTATGCAACAGAAAATTGATCGAGCCGCCTTACAACAAGATTGTAGATTGGGCTAAATGGTATGTTTTTTGGGCGGATGAGCGCGTTGTAGCTAAGAGTCATGATGATAGCAACTACAAGCTTGCCAAGGATAATCTCCTCTCCAAGGTTAGATCTTTGGATTGGGTTTTTGATTAACTTTTGGGTAGAAGAATCTTGAGGCTATATGGTTATCTTGGCTATTGACTTTTTGTGCCCCAATCATTGCTTGTTTGAGAAGAAAACAGATTTGAGGATTGAGAAACTAATCCAATCATGGTCTTTGTCAATACAGCTTTGTGTGCGGTTTTTGTCTTGTTATCATGTTGACTTTTGTTCAGAGAGTTGCAAAACTTTGTTATTTTTTTCTTCAGGTAAATGTGTTTCCGAGACATATGTGTTCCATTAACGACACAGTTTCTGCGGAGGAAGCAGCAACAGAGTATGAGTTTGCCATCAGACAGATGGTGAGAACCCGAACCGTGGCTGCATCTAAGAACAGTGACTGTCCCAAGTTTGATCTGATCTTGCTTGGGATGGGGTCGGATGGGCACGTCGCCTCGCTCTTTCCGAACCACCTGGCACTTGAGGTGAAGGACGACTGGGTTACGTTCCTAACTAACTCTCCTAAACCGCCACCAGAGAGAATCACATTCACATTGCCTGTCATTAACTCAGCTGCTAATGTCGTTATAGTGGCAACCGGAGAATCCAAATCCAATGCTATCCACTTAGCAATCGACGATTTGCCATCGTCTGACAGCTCTTTGTCTCTACCTGCACGACTGGTACACCCGAGTAACGGAAATCTGGTCTGGTTTGTGGACAAACAAGCGGGTTCTAAACTTGACGGGTTTAAATTTTCTGAGTAGGATTTAGTTTTTCTTCTCGGATCCAAAACTAAATGGTTCTTTTCATCTGTGATGACCCTTTTTGTATGAGCAGCATCCGGTTTAGAAACATTGGGTTTTTACTTTTCAAATCATGCCAGTTTTAACAAACTACCAAATCTAGTAACTATAACAATAACATGGTCAGTAACATCGAAAAACAATCTAACCGTCAAACTGAATGAAGTGATAGTGTGACACACTCAGGCGAAAACCGATTCGTTATCCTACAGGACGAGGGGCATGAGAGAAACCGGTAATGCTTACTTTCATTGGGCTTTAACCTGGCTTAGAGCATCGGCCTCGGCTCTAGCCATAGGATCATCTTTGACATCCGCATCTTCTTCCATCTCCGTCTCGCCTTGTCGATCATCCGCCAATTTCTTCCTGTGAAGCTCCTCAGCAGTCTCCATCGCAGCCTTATTCTCGGCTTGAATCTTCAGCATTTCCTTTTCTTGTTGCTGCCTCTCAAACCACGTGTCTGCATCTGCCCAAACTGAAAAAAAAAAAGAAACAAAACCAAGAAGCTCCATTTGTTAGGCAATGAGATATAGATAAAGAAACTCTCTGCTTTAACCAAGAACATAATAGAAAATCAAGAAGCAAACAGATCGAATTTCACACACTGAACATCATCATAGACTCTAAACATTTTGAATCATGGAAACTTTTGACATTACCAAGAAACAAACAGCCTTATTGATTCCCCAATTTTCATACACTTGAGCTACGAAAGTAGCAACATCACATACTTTGAGATAACTTCAAATCCGCAAATTTAACATCCAAAGAGCCAATTCTTAAAACTAATTTCAAAATCAATTCAACTAGAAGAACGCTAATTGCAAACCCTAATTTCAATTACTCATATTCATCAAACAAGAGATCAAAACTCACCAAATCGAAATCAAAATCAAACGATAAACGAGAAGGAGGAATCGAATACGTACGTGGATGTGCGGCCCAACCCTGTTCACCACCCTTGATTTTCTCGGGGAGAGCATAATTGACGGTGAGAACACGGCCATAAAGCTCGGCTCCGTCCATGTTATCCATGGCGGCGGAAGCGTCTTCTCTCTCTAAGAAAGTGACGAATCCGAAGGATCTGTGTTTCTGATTAGCTTGGTCCAAGGGAGTCTTCACGTCTTTGATGTCGCCGAAAGGTATAAACGCAGCGTGAAGGATCGTTTCGTTAACTTCATCAGCTAAACCTCCTACGTATAAAGTGTTCTTCTGCATCGCTTGTTGCTGTTGAACTGCAGCAGCCATTGTTAATGAAACTTCTTCTTCTTCTTCGAGTTCCTTTCTCTCGCTCTCTCTCTAGTGGATTCTGGAAAGAAGACAACAGCGAGTTTTTCAATTTTTTGTTTTGATTTTGTTTTGGTTAGAAAGAAATCATCTCTCTGATATTAATGGGCTTTTTCCACTCTTCGGCCCAAGAAAATCCATATAAGTGTATAAATTTTATTTTGGGATCAAAGTCTATGAGGTTAGTTTTAATTTTTTTTTTTACAAAGTTTTAATGATTAACCAAAAGGGAAAATTTGCCATTAATACAACAAATAATTTATAATTTACAAACTAACCAAAAAATCTAAATCCTAAAACCTAGATTGTGCCACATACCCCCTTTTTTCCAACTTTTTAATTTTTTTTTTGGTTATTTATTAAAAAGACCCTAACCAAAAACAATGTTTTTGAAGTTTCACAAATTGTTTTTTTCTTTCTTTCAAATGTGGCTATTTATTTATTTATCTATCTTTTGGATAAATATTGATTAAAGTGTTCAAAGTCCAAAAACCAAAACCTATTCTAAAAACTACAGATATTCATAGCCTTAATGTGTTTTTTTTTGTTACCCTTAAAATGTGTTTGAAGAGTTCGAATTCTATGTCTCGTAGGATTCAAATTTATCTTAAATAGTTTCGAATACATAAGACTAGAGGTATCACTTAGTTAAAAGCAATATTGGTTAAAAGAGTGATATTCCATTGATCTAAGAG